TTTAAAAATACTTGATGTGCTAAAATTTTTCTTCATTTGCAATCGGAGGATATGTGAATGAATCCCAACAGGGATGCCACTTTTGGTTTTGAAGAGATGCACTTGCAAAATGAGAAGGAATGGGTTTAATTTGACAGCTCTTGCTCTCTCCTCATCACAGGCAGCTGTTGTCAGACTGAATTTAAAAGTTTTCAGAAATACATTCCTTAAGCAGGAAAAAAAGTGGAATGGTCATAAACCCCAGTAGAATTGCTGCATAGAGATTGTTATTTGGCCTTTAAATATTAAATGGCTGGTTTTAAACAGGTCTGGTGCAGACAGTTTCTGCTACAGGTTTATTGATTAAAATAGCTGCTTTACATCAGCTCCAAATTTGTTTCTCCAGAGGCTTTTGTCTTCATGAATAATGTACTCTTTTGCTGAAATTTTGTTAGAATTAATTTCCTGGAGTCTGGCTGTATATCTCTAGGTTCCTAAGTCTCAGCTGACAAGGCTGAAAATTGTGATATTCCCTGCACTTCCCTCAGAAACGAATATTCCTTCTTCCACCCATCTAGTCTGACCAAACCTAGTGCTTGCACATTGGACTGTGCTCTTGGAAACAGCTGTGACAGTTTGGCTCTTTGAGAGAGGTTTGTATGATACTGAAGGTTGCCTTGTCTATACTGAGGATTAGACTTCTGCGGCAATTCATCCAAACCCTTCAAGAGTGAGTGGGAAAATTCCAGTGAGCTTTGGATCAGACAGTGAACTTGGAGGCTTGTTGTGGTTTCAGGTGGGCAGGTCTCATGCCTTCAATATTGTAAGTACTCCAATTTGCTGCATGCATCTAATTTATGCATGATCAGGCTTTTTTACACCATTTTATGGCCTTTTGTATGCATTTCTAAAGATATGCACCTTGATTTCTGGAAGATGCTTGAGGATTTTGTGCTAAGCCCAAAGGGTACTGTTTTGCTTGTGTAAGGGGTGGTGGAACAGACCTTGCACAGCTTCCCCTTGCAGACTGAGGCTTGCAAGTCCTGTTATCCCTCTGGGTTGAGTTTGCTACTCTGCAACAGGAGAAGACTGCTGCAGGACCTGTAAGAAAGGAGGTCAATGAACAGCTCAGTCAATGAGCAAACAGAGATGATAAGACCTTTCTTGACAACGTGCTGTTCCTCCTCCTCCCTTCTGATCCTCTTTCCTATCACAAAAATATGTCTTTGCTCAAACTATCTGCTACAACAATAGCTGTTTGCAAAACCAGAGCAGGGAGAAAGTCAGATTAAAGCCTTTAGTGAAAATATGTGAAATCAGGCTCCACAGTTTCGTTTATGCATGGGAAAATAAATATCACTGTTGGTAGAAAAGATAATTGAATCTCATGACTCTGGAAATGTAGTCAGTCACAGATAATCTGGCCTGCCTTTACTCTCTTGGGGAGATGATGACCCTTTCTTTCTACAATTACTTTCCAAGTTAATTTTACATCAAGATAAAACCAGAAGAAAAACCCAGTTGATGTGTATATAGAAAAAAGTTGATGTGTATAAAGAAAAAAGTTATTCCATTCTGAAATGGCCAAGAACAGGATATTGTGGTGCCTGAACCTTTTCCTGAAGATTTTTTTCTGTTTTGTTTAACCAAATGAAAATCTCTTCAAGATGTCATTTGGCAAAGTGTTTTGACTCAGGTGAGACCACAGATCTTGACAGTATATTAGTTTTCCTGAAGTATGTCTGACTTGTCTCTAATTTTTTTTTGAGGCATGGAGGCTGTGAAGATGATAACTGGCTTCTTTATGACAGTGAAGCACATAGCCAGGATCATATTGGGAGAGTAGCTGACAGGCACTAGACAGATGGTTCCTGTGTGAATGTTAGCAGATGAGAATCCTCCCTTCTTGGAACACCTGTCTGGTGACCAGTGCTGCCACAGTCTGTCTCTCACACTTCTTACAGACCTGAGAGAAAGATGTGTGACCGGAAATATGAGCATCTACTGGATTTTTTTTGTCCTCTCAGGAAAGCCCCTGTGGCTGTGGAGTGAGTGGATGTGGTTTAGAGCAGGTCATTAGGCTTTCTCTCTTTCCTCCCTTAGAGCCTGTCGTAAGCATGGGGTGGCCGGGTCAGTGCACAAAATGCCCTATTCTATTTAGTGTGGGGGTTTCTGCAGCCTCACTTCCTTCCATCACAGCTAGAAACAAGACTCCCCTTGGTGTAGTTAGGAGAGGACTTGAGCAGTTATGAAAGCCTGCCTCCCCCTTGCTAAATTGTATGGCCTGGAATTGTAGGAGGATGCTGAAAGTCCTCTCCACTCTGCCAAAATTCTTCATGTCAGTAGTGGAACAAAGGAAGCCCAGCTTATTGTGGTTGAGCCTTTGGTATCTCCAGTGGTGGAAGCTCTCATTGAGGCTTTTCCTGTGGCTGGGATATTCAAAACCTTCCTTTGTGGCTTTGCTGCTACATAGAAAAGTTGAGCTTATGCTATTTTGTTTCCTGGTGTGTGAAAGCAGGAATTGACTCTCTTTAACAAGGGATGAAATGAGCCAACAAGCCCAGAGTTTATCAGAGTGAGACAGAGAGGGTGCATGTGTACACATCAAGATACTGATATATACCTGATGAAACTATATAAATAAGATTATATAAACCTTATTTTCTCAGGATGCCAGGCTACACAGTTACTTGATGGATCCTTTCAAATAAAAGCATTGCTAGTAGCATCAGTGTAATGTTAAATTTCTTACAAACATTGTATTTGAGACAGGCAACAAAGCAAAAAGGCAGTAATAATTTGAAAAATATGAATAATTTTAGGCACGCAAAATATGAATAAACATATTTTTCATCCTCCCCTTCAATCAATGTTTTAATTGAGAAGGTATTGATCTTGTAATAACATCTCTTCTGTTGTTGATGCTTTAAGGAACTAATGACGTCTGTTTAACCAACCATAAAGAAGGGCCAAATTATAGGATAATCTGTATTGTTTATTTTATTGTTTCAAATAAAGAACTGAAAGGTGATGAAACTGGGCAATTAAGGAACAAAACAAAGGGATAAATTCTGCTGATGCAGTGGAATACTGCATTGGTAATGGATGGAGAGTCAGAACATGTGAGCCAAGGAACCTTGCATGACTCTTGCGTGTAAAAATATTTTCAAGTATCTAAAAAACTTTCACCTCTTGATATGACCCATTCTGATTTGTTTGACCTTGTAGAAAATGCAGTGGGTTTTGATCTTCAGAAGGGGTTCTGCTAGAAGTTGAGGGGAAAAGTCTGTAACTAACTGGTCAAAGCAGGACAGCTCTAGTGGAGCCTGCTACATCCTTTGGGTTATCTGCATTCCTGCTGTATTCCACACACATGGCTGAAGGGTAAGGGCAGAGCTGGCACGGCTGGCAGCAGAGCAGGATACATGCTTAGGATGTTCAGAAGCAATCAGAGCCTTTAATGGGAGTAGAGGATTAATTAATTCTGATCCATACAGACACATTGGCTTCTTGTGCAGCCAGAATCCTAATTAGGCAATCAAATTTTTTTCCTTTCACAGTGACCATTGCTCCAGCTGTGCTGCAACTCTTTCCTCTCTTTATTTGCAAATCTCTCTCTATTTTACAGCAAAAAAATTTACATACTTTGGCAGGAAAGCTTCCTTCTTTTCTTTCAATTTTTCCCTGTTTGCATCTACATATTTGCATATCTTCTTCTGATGTTCTATAATCCCTCAACCTTAATTTTCAAACCCTTGTTATGAAATGAGATCATGGCTTCTTCCTCATCTCCTTTATTCCTCTAACCCAGGGTTGCTTCACTTCTTTTCCCCACTCCAGCCCTCAGCCCCTGCTGACTCAGTTAAATATACATGTGCGCTTTTCCCCTTTGTTCCTTCTTTTCCCTTCACCCCTCTGTGGCTGCTTTTCTTATGTCGGCTTTGATCTCTTTGCTGGCAACACTAACATTTTAAAATCTTTTCTAATTTGTTATTTTTATACATTGTTGTGAAATTAAATATCTTGGAAAGGAAACACGGGTTGCCCCACTCTCTGCAGGAACAAACTCATCGGGTGGGAAGGCTGTGTATGCAATTGAAACCTGTGCTGGGGAAGTGCTGAGGAATGGTCCAGTCCTCTGGACTCTGTGCTGTCAGTCTGGTCTGAGTAATGAAGGCACATCCCAGATTCAGCTCCATGGTTAGCCTCAGTTTTGCTAAGCCACGTTACTGCAGCAAAGGGAAAAATGGAGGGCCAGTACTTCCAGGTTCTTTTGTTCTGGGTGGCGACCAAAACCATCAGGAGTGTAATCCTTAGTGATGGGAACTGTGACACAAATCCCTGGAATTCACTGAGGTTCTTCTCTTTGTCAGCAGCAACGCTGAGAGGTCACTTGTGTTTCATAACCCTTCCCTCTTTTGGGGTTTTATCAGAGTCCTAATCCACTGGTTAGGGTATCTCATAACTCTTGTGTTGCAGCTGGTATGTTGCTTTTTCTGTACTTACATCTGTGCAGACATTTTTTTTTATCTGTTGTGTCACTTTTGTGAAGATGGCATGTGTTGTTATTAATTATGATTACTGTTTTATGCTAACCACTACATTGATTTATGGCAAAAAAATGACCACTGTAATGACTGTGAATTCCTACCAAGATGTAATTTCCTTGACTACCCCTAGCTGTGAGGTTTTCTCCTGGCAGTGGCAGTAGCAGATTAGTTTCTGCCAAGTTTCTACAGACAGTCTTTGCAGCAGCCCTCCAGAGATGGCTCCATATGGTCACTCTGGACTGCAGAATCTGCTGCTAGATGACCTGTTTACCTGTTCAGGTCTATTCTTTTTTTTTTTTTTTTTTTTTTTTTTTTTTGTCAGATGCCTTTCAGTCCTTCAGTCCTCTCTTCTAAGGAATAAAGAATAAAAATTTTAAATTACTCCATATCCTATTCCCCAGAATGAGACTAAACTTTATTTGTGACCTTTCTTTTACCCAAGATTGACTGGATTTTGTTGTTTTATTCCAGGTCACCGGTTTCTTCAGAAGATCAAGGTAAGATCTGTTTTATAGATACTTACAGCATATTAAAAATGAGACCAAAGACTAGTGAGTAAGCTCTGTTTTAACACAGTTATGGTGGAGAAAGATGTTTTTTTATAAAAATGAAACTTTGGTGTTGATGAAACTTTGTTCACCCCTAGACATTAAGTGCTTGATCATTTAGTTTAATTGGGACTGACAAAACTGTTGAGTTATTTGTAAAATGAATCTTGCTTAATCAAATGGAATTATTGCTAGAGTTTACAGTTTATTCATCCTCCTGAATAGAGCATTGCCTGTGGAAAATGTGTGGCCTAAAGAACACTACATGTTTTTGTAAAGATAAGCACATCTTTTGTGACTCTCACAGGACAGCATCTTTGTCACTGAGAAGAGAATGCATTGTGTTTTAAAAGCTTAAACACACATTATCTTGGGTTACCAGTAAAGTCAGTTTAGTAGGACAGTATGGAATTTAGGGCAGCTAGGCTCTTCTACGTGGAAAAATCTCACGGCTTGAGTAGCAAGAGTTGCAGGTTATGGCAATATGCTTGCTGTGAGGGAGACTTGAAGGATCTGTTCTTTCCCTGTGGCCTAAAGAGGGACTTTGTGATGACCAGCTGTTTAAGTGGCAAACTTAAGTCCATCTACAGTATATCAATATATGGCAGCACTGGTACTGAAATGCAGAGACATACTGTGAAGGCGTGGTAATTGCACTGCCAGAGTTGCATAAGGAATGAGGAAAAAAAAAGGGAGACTGACTGAGAAGAGAAAGTTCATCGTGTGGCTCTGAACTGGGAATACTCTTTTGGTCCAAAAAAGAAATATCTGTTTTCTTCTGGCATCCAATTTGTATGCAGTCACACAATCAGAACGTTTTCTGGCCAATACCATAAGCATTACTCAAGAAATGTCCGGATGGGAATAGTAAGGACTGCTGCAAATGGAGGTGTAAGAAGGTCTGACCCTGGAAATGTGTCACTGAACTATGTTCAGCTGGAGTGTGGAGTGACTAGTTAGGTATCAACCTACATTGTCCTTGGCTCAGCCAAGGTTTTTAGTCCACTATAATGGATGTCAAACATATTGTCATTAATAAACTCTCTTCCGTCTCCTTGGTGAGTCCTTTCTCAGTAACAAAAGTTGTAAAGAAAGCCATAAAAGTGAACAAACATGCAAGATCAAAGGTATCAAAGGCCCATCTAGTCCATTCCTAGTGTCTGGTCACAGCAGATCCTGTGACAAATAAAAGTATGAGACTGGCAGAAGCATACAGGCTTAATTTCCTGGTGTGCCCTATTAGATTTTTATGATTTACAGCTCATTGATTTTGTGAACCAGATGGAGTTTTCCTGTTTAATAGTTTATCTGCTTTTTACCATGACCACAGATTCTAATATTCAGTACAGGACTGTGAGAAGTTAACAGTATACCTCATGTCTCCAACTCTCAGAAGAGATTTGAAATCATTATAGTCTAATATACTATTTCAGGACCTGGACTCAAGCTGCATCTCAGTGCATAAACTTGTTAGTGATGAGCTGTTCTTGCTATTTCATTTCCCTTGCGTTTACTGTATTGCTTCATCTTTATCTATTAGTGGAGTTGCAGACGGTGTATATGCATTTCCTTGTGTATCTTTAAAGGCTGGTCTTTGATGCTGTCAGAATGCTTTTCTTCTATCCACTACTTTTATTCTATTCGAGTTTTTGACAAAACCTTTCTGTTTGCTATCCACCATCTGCTGCCATGGTTTGGCTTTTCAGGTTTGATCAACATCTCTGAATAGCCTCTTCTTCCTTGCCTTTCCTTTATCTCACAAGCAACCTCTTCTGAAATGCAGAATGAAAGGCCTTGACCAATTAGTGACATGATAGTGCCAGTTATTAAGAGTTTTGTGACCATGGAGTTTCTAACTAGATTTGTTATCCCTATAAATATGTAGGAGCTTCTCTCAAGCACAAAAGATTTCCCATTCTCCAGGGACTTTTCAGAAAGAAGGGTCCAATACTTGGATTTCCTCTATCCCACTATGCCAGCTACAGACCATGGTAAATGGGCACAGTACAAAAATGAAAATGTGATAAAAGTGCTGCAGCATAAGCTCTTTAGAGTCTAGAAGGTTCTCAGTCCACTGAGACTGCATGTGTGGAGGCATCTCAAATTAGCCTTAGATCTCAAATCTCTTTATCTAAACAAAAAAGAGGGTCCATGAGAGTGCCAAAAACTTATCTCTAAATTGCCTGTCTTTTATAGTGTTTACGCAGATGTACTCTCTTCTTGGAGTACATATCTTGAAATCAGTTTTGAGACTTATATGTTCATTAATAATCAGTACTCAACTGTGTACCTATTCCATGTTAAATATTTACTTTTTTTTTTTTTTTTTTTTTTTTTTTTTTTTTTTTTTAATAAGGCAATAATGCTTTGGGCTACATAGTGAGGGAAGATAATGTACCTTCACTGTACCTACATTCTGCCCTGTATTACAGCTTTTCTTCCCTATTATGGACACCATTCTAGTGCTGATTTTCTGATGATGTGATATGTTGATCATTACTGAGAAAAGGCTCTTTCTCTGTCGTGTTGGATCTTTTGTTTTAACCTCCCTCTTGGTTCTTGATCTTTGTTTTGTCTGCTTTAATATTCAATTGTCACTTTTTCTTCTACTGTTTCTCTGTGGAGTTTTTATTATCATCCTCTTCTTGCTTTTTAAATGACTCTTTCCCATTGACCACAAGGTTGCATTCTGTGTATATTTTTGCACTGTGCTCTCACCTTGGTCTCTGAATGTCCTACTTTCTGCTCCAGTGTGGACAGAGTGGTACAATCACAGTGGGAAACAGTAGCTGCAGCATCTGTAGTGTTCTAACAGACTTGTACCAGAATTAGCCTCTAATGTGAGTGGCACTTCCATTAATCCCTGACAGGACAATGCATTATGCTGTCTTGACAAGGGGGTGAAGATAAAGCACCATCTGTCTGGGACTGGGCATCTATTGAACAACTGTAACTGCACACAATGCTCCTTGTTGTGGACATGTGTTAGAGGCACCTTTATCAGTTACAAAACAGGCCCATTTTAATTGGCACAGAAAGGGAAAGAGCACTGCTAGAAGATCCCAAATTTCAAAAGAAAAAATACCCAATGCCTCTTAAGGTTTGTGTCTTTGTTCTTGGTACAGGTAGCTAGGAAATAGTTAACTAAATAGTGAAATCCATCAGCTTTTTTTTTTTTTTTTAATAAACAAAAGGAGTAGACAAAACCCCTTACCCTCAAATGCTCTGATTGACAAAATGATACAAGTCAAGTAAGTCTTAAAGCATACCAGTTTAGACAGGGGATTGATGACTCTGAAGAAGGATCTGTCCAGTCAGGTACTGCCTGTTGCAGCTCCATGCCCAGCAGCCTTGGAAGTAAGTGGTTTTCTTTGGGTTTTGGGGTTAGATGAGACTCAACAATGGGCAAGTGTCAGACCCATGGAAGACCTGGTATATGTCATGATGGAGGGCCAGACAAGTCATCTTTTAGTGAAGGGTATCACCTGCTACATTTTTGCTGTGTAAAAAGTCCTGGTGATATGCCCAGGAGGTCTGACACTGTTGGAGGTTATTGCATCCATTCTGTGATGGGAATGCAGACTTCTAATACATTGTGTTGCCCCTACATAGTCATTGTCTGGTTATCCAGTGCACACTTGTTGTCTGGTTGTGGTTAGGTCAATGGTTGAGGTTTACCAAACCCTTCATTCACCTTTCAGAGTTGCACTGTATTTTGCGTGCACACTGGATCATGCCTTGCCCACTCCTATGTACAGCCACCCTGCAGAAATCTGCATTAAAAATTCATATTTGTAGTTTCATCTGGCCAAAGTTAGGTTCTCTCTACTATTCTTTGCTTACCTTATATGTTTGAGTTGATTCTTCATCGTCACATGAGCAATTGAACGAAATGACCTTAAAATGACCTATTTTCATTTCAAGTATTCTGAAAAAAAAAACCCAGCAAATTCTTGAGTGTTGCAATTAATAGTGTAGGGACATGGGTGTGTTATTCATGTCATGGCAACTTAGAGCTGATGCTGCTCAATAATCTTGTGTCTGACTTCAAACCTTGCCTTTGATGGAATTATTCAGTTTTAAGTAGCTATACTAATGCACCTCAAGTAGCAGTCAACCAGAGCTTAATCCTTACACACCTGAATTGTATTGTGATTGGGAGACAAAAGGTTCCAAATATTTATGTCATGCTCTCCCACTCATTTCTCTGAAAACCAACGAGATTGGGCTTTCTGCCTAGTTTGCTTCCAGCAGATGTGGTTTTGCTGCATCAGCATAATTTCTGTGATTTAGGGTTTGTGGTTTTGGGCATTTTGTGTGTAATAGATTCAAAATTCATGAGGGAATAGGGAATGAATGAGAAATTAAGACAAGAGGGAAATACATTCAGTGGAGCAATTTTGAAGACAGTTAGTTATTACAAAGTAATAATATTATACAAGAGATTAAGATAAAGGATGGAGTTTCTGCTTGAAAAGACAAATAGCAAGACTCAAAGGTCTTTCAGATTCTGCCAGATGCTGGTTCCATGCCATGGAGTCACTCCATGACGTGGAATCATCTAGCCTGGATATTGTATACTTAGGAGGGATATGTGTAGAGCCAGGAGTGCATTAGAAGTAAAGTGAGTTTATAATGGTGACTTCTAAATTAGTCTCTATTAGAAAAAAATTTCCACAGGGATTGCTTGGCATGGGCTCAAACTGGAAGTTTTAGGTGGGAGGTGTAATTCTGCCTCTGGAGATCCCTCTGAATAGAGAGAGCTGCTATGTGAGTTATAAGGAAAGGGCTGATCAAGTATGTGCTTGGAAGGCTGTGGTGGCTCTATCCCACACAGGGAAATGCTTTGCTATGCAGTGTCTGCTCCTGCCTTGGAATGCCCTGTCCACTCTGGCATTTGCTCCAGCTCCATTACAGAGAGGAGACCTAAACACATGCAAGGAGGAAGA